CATATGCACATATGCATAAGCCATGGACACAGACAATAGAGTGGTGAAGGCCTGGGAGGGGTGGGTATGGGGAGGAGGGGGTAATGGGAAAACAAACAAACACACAAAGGGGACATTTGTAATACTTCCAATAACAAAGATAAATTAAAAATAAATAAATAGATAAATAAATAAAATAAGTTCAACATTCAGGGAGAGAACCAAGTTGGCAGCATAGGTAAATCCTCCCACAACCACATCAAGATTACAACTAAAATACAGAACAACCATCATTCACAACCATCTGAAATCTGGCTGAATGGAAGCCCTACAACAGTGATGGCGAACCTTTTGAGCTCGGCGTGTCAGCATTTTGAAAAACCCTAACTTAACTCTGGTGCCGTGTCACATATAGAAATTTTTTGATATTTGCAACCATAGTAAAACAAAGACTTATATTTTTGATATTTATTTTATATATTTAAATGCCATTTAACAAAGAAAAATCAACCAAAAAATGAGTTCGCGTGTCACCTCTGACACACGTGTCATAGGTTCGCCATCACTGCCCTACAACTACCAGGGGTCCTCAAACTTTTTAAACAGGGGGCCAGTTCACTGTCCCTCAGACCGTTGGAGGGCCGAACTATAGTTTAAAAAAAAAACTATGAACAAATTCCTATGCACACTGCACATATCTTATTTTGAAGTAAAAAAACAAAACGGGAACAAATACAATATTTGTATTTGCATGTGGCCCGAGGGCCGTAGTTTGAGGACCCCTGAACTAGTCCATTAAATAAGTAGCCATATTGACACTGTTAGAAGGAGCGTGAGCATGGAATGGGCTGGCCCAACACCTATATGTGGGTGTTTTTAATTGGTAGAAATATCTTAGCTGTGGAGACCTCCGTGAAGGATCAAGGTGCCCCCAGCCCAGGGTTTCAGTGCCAGGAAGAGAAGTCCTTGTAACTTCTGGCTGTAAAACACAGCAGGAATTGTGGCTGAGTGATAGGGAGGCTGCTGGAGACACAGACAATTCCTCTTAAAGGGTCAGCATGGGCTTACTCAGACTCACTCCCTCTGAGGTCCAGTGCTGGGACAGAAGCAGCTTGAAAGGATCCAGTGACGTATGGGGAAGAACTAAACTGTATGGCCTCAGGGAAAGAACTAGGGGGCAGCTTTGTCCCACACAGAGCTGACTGGCAGAAGCGATAGCTGAGTCTCCATTGTACTGTTTGCCCTGCCCTGGAGATTCCCTGAGATCCTGCCTCATCCAATTAGCAGCCCTACCCAAACTGTGAATGGTCTGTCCTGACCTCAGACTTTCCTATAATCTCTCAAAGAAGCAGCAGCTGAACTCAGTGTGCCCATACCACTGTATAAGTGGCCCCAGGCCCAGCACTTCTATCAGCTTGCCAAGGTTCACAGCTTGGCCTCTCCTGGGCACCTCTAAGCCCAACACAAGCAAGCAGGGCACAAGCAGTGGCTGATTTTGCACCTCCTGGGAGGCCCCAAAGCCCATGCACCAGTAGACAGCTTCAGACCACGCCAGAATACAACTCTACAACATCCATTAGTGACACACTCAAGGATCAGACTCAGTGAGCACCAAAGCCCTACTGAAGCAAATCCTGCTCCGTAGGGGTGTCTCTTGCACAGCAGCTCTTCCACTGTAGTCACAGCTGATCCTCACAGCCAATTGGCCTGGAAGTCAATTCTTCCCAGTGATGCTAACAGCAATCAATGCTCAACTACAACAGGATAGTGCACACAGAGCTCAGGTGACTGGGAAGGCTGAGACACTGGGCCCTACAGGACACCTACTACATAAGGCCACTCTACCAATTCCAAAAGACATAGCAGCTCTATCTTATACATAGAAACAAAAACAGGGAAGTAGCCAAAAAAATGCGGAGACAAAGAAACATGTCTCAAATGAAAGAACAGAAGAAATTGCCAGAAAAGGAACTAAATGAGATGGAAGCAAGCAAACTACTGGATACAGAGTTCAAAACAATTGGTATATGGGTACTCAAGGAACTTAATGAAAATTTCAAGGAAATAAGTCAGACCATCAAAGACATGAAAAAGGACCAGTCAGAAATGAAGGATACACTAACTGAACTGAACAGTCATTTACAGGGAATGAACTGTAGAAGACTCTGAGAATCAAATCAGTGATTTGGAATATGAGGAAGCAAAAAACACCCAATCAGAAGAGCAAAAAGAAAAAAGAATTCAAAAATATGAAGATAGTATAAGCAGCCTCTGGGACAAGCATACCAACATTCACATCATGGGGGTGCCGGAAGGAGATGAGAGGGAGTAAGAAATTGAAAACCTATTTGAAGAAATAATGACAGAAAACTTCCCCTACCTGGTGAAAGAAAGAAATATACAATTCCAAGAAGGGCAGAGAGTCCCAAACAAGAGGAAATCAAAGAGGTCCACACCAAGACACATGATAATTAAAATGCCAAGGGTTAAAAACAAAGAGAGAATCTTATAAGATGCAAGAGAAAAGCAGTTAGTTACCTACAAGGAAGTACCCATAGGACCATCAGGTGATTTCTCAACAAAAACTCTGTAGGCCAGAAGGGAGTGGCAAGAAATATTCAAAGTGATAAAAAGCAAAGACCTACAACCAAGATTACTCTACCCAGCAAAGCTATCATTTAGAATTGAAGGTCAGATAAAGAACTTTACAGACAAGAAAATAAATGAGACCATCAAAATTCATCACCACCAAACCAATATTACATGAAATGTTGAAAGGTTTTCTTTAAGAAAAAAAAAAAAAAAAGGTAAAAAATATGAATGCCCAGCTGGGGTGGCTTACTGGTTGAGCATCAAAATATGAAACAGGAGGTCATGGTTTGATTTCCAGTCAGGGCACATGTCTGGATTGCAGGCTCGATCAGGGGTGCACAGGTGTCAACCAATCCATGATTCTCTCTCGTCATTGATGTTTCTCTATTTCCCTCTCCCTCCATCTGGAAAAAACAACAACACATATTTTAAAAATGAAGAAATAAATAAATAAATAAATAAACAAACAAACAAACAAGGAATCTAAAGAACAAAATAAACTGATGAATAAAATAGAACCAGAAGCATGGAAACATGGAAGAGACTGACAAATATAGGGAAAGAAGGCAGTGGGAAACGACTAACGAAATAACTTATATGCATATAGGCATTACCCATGGATACAGACAATAGGGTGGTGAAGGCCTGGGAAGGAGCAGGATTCAGGTGGAGGAGGGCAACAGGGCAAAAAAAAAGGGGGGGGGGTACATCTATAATACTCGTTAACAATAAAGATTTTTTTTTAATATAAATTCAACAATCAGTAAATAGTGATTGCCTGAAATAAAGAGAGTGGCTCTGTCTGGGCCTTTATAAGAATGCTAGAAGCCCGGTGCACAAATTCATGCATCAGTGGGGTCCCTCGGCCTGGCCTGCAGGATCTGGGCCAAAACCAGCTGACATCCCCCGAGGGGTCCCGGATTGCGAGAGGGTGCAGGCCAGGCCGAGGGATCCCACCGTTGCACGATCAAGGCCAGGGAGGGGCATGGGAGTTTGGCCAGTCGGGGAGGGACCATGGGAGGGCTCCAGGGCGTGTCTGACCCATCTCACTCAGTCCTGATCGGCCAGACCCCAGCAGCAAGCTAACCTACTGGTCAGAGTGTCTGCCCCCTGGTGGTCAGTGCACATCATAGTGAGCGGTTGAGCTGCCTTAACATATCATTAGCATATTATGCTTTGATTGGTTGAACGGATGACCGGACACTTAGCATATTAGGCTTTTATTATTTAGGATACTTCATCTAAGTGATATATCTGGGATAGGATATGATTTAGAAAAAAAAAAAGAGCAGTTAAGGATATGAGGATAGGTACATACAGAGAACAAATTGATGGTCACCAGAGGGGAGGGGGGTTGGGGGGCTGGGTGAAAAATGGTGAAAGGATTAAGAAATACAAATTGGCAGTTACAGAATAGTCAGGGGATGTAAAATACAGCATAGGGAATATAGTCAATAATATTGTAATAACTATTTACAGTGCCAGGTGAGTACTTGAAATATCAGGGGGACCACTTTGTAAAGTAGACGATTGTCTATGCTGTACACATGCAACTAATACAAACTAATATTGAATATTATAAACTTTAATTAAAAAATAAAAATATTTTTTAAAGAATATGACGGTAGGAGGGATGAACATAACAGATGGGAAAGACACTTAATTTTTTTAACTTTGCCAGATTTGCAAGATGTAAAAGGTTCTGGATATGGATGGTGTGATGGTTGGACACCCGTGTGAATGTACTTAATGCCACTGAACTGTAGACATAAAATTGGTTAAGATGGTAAATCTATGTTATGTATATTTTACCACAATTTAAAAATTAAATTTAAGCAAGATTACTTAGCTGCTTAAATAAGCCAAGTAGAAACAATTCTTTATACCAAGGTTGCTTACTAGAGGCGGGTCAGGTAATTCATGGTATTTGAAACAGCATGTGCGAAAGTATCTGCAGACTTCTGAATAACAGGACAGCTGTTGATACAGGTAGGCTTGTGGCATGAAGAGCAAATGTAGTTCTCAGGAATCTGCAGCGTATTGGGCTCCGCGTCCCAGACCCTTCAGACGTAGGTTCACAGTTAGGACGCCTTCTGTAGGAGGCAATCTGCAGGGCGGCTCTCAATTATCATTAGATAATTGTGCCGCTTCCAGTGCAGGGCGGAGCCAACGACCCCTCAAATGGCCAACAGGTGACATGCTTGCTCACGGACAGGGGGCACTTCCTCCACCACATGACTCCGTCTAGCCTCGGATTGGGGGCCTTTCAGGCTGTTCGGTGTTTCTCCAGTTCCACCCGGCCGGCCGGCAGCAGAAGGTATTCCCTTCCACCGCCCCAAATCTTACGCAGCGCACCCACGGCGCAGGCGCAGGAGGTGGGGCGGGAGGCCGCGGATCTCGCGAGGCCAACGGGTGCAAGAGTTCTCATGTGAAGGGGCGCGGATGCTTCCGCAAACATGGCGGCAGCGGTAGTACGGAGCGCTCGACTGGTGGCCTGGGGCGAAAGGCTGCGGCGCGGAGTGGCTGCCGGACCCGTGGCGGCGTCACTGGCCGGCGTCGCGCTGGCAGGAGTGGGAGTGGCGTGGTACCACGGCCTCGTGAATGTGGCCGCGCCACAGGGCCGCCACTCTGTCCTAGCGCAGGTAGGGAAGGGCCCTTTGCGCCGGCCGCCACCGAGCTCCTCCGACGCCCGGCCTGGGACCGTGGGGGTGGGGTAGGGTTCGGGCAGCGCGGCGGAAGACCCGACAGGGTTGAGTAAGAGCCCCGCCGTGCCCAACTCCACGGACAAACCTCAATAACACAAAATTGGTGGTGATGACAGAGGGCGTGTCTCAATGCAGCACTGAATTTGTCTCTGCGCGGCGCCCCCTCCTTCCTCCCTCCCTGGTCAGCGAAGTGGTTCGCAGATCCGCAGGTCGTTTTGTCCAGTTACCCTCTTCCGGGCGTACCTAAGCTTGTACGACTGCTTCTTTGGTGAAGTTATCTAATAGATGATTTTCATTTAATCGTAAAAATGTCAACCGTAAAAATTAACCGGCTGATAATTTCCAGATTTTATGATCAACTGTATTACGTGATCGTAAACCTTAATGCTTCAGTAGAGTGTGAGCACTAAGTAAAAGACATTTCTTCTAAAAACCTCCATGTGTTAAAGGTCAAATTCCCTAGTGTAATATAAAATGTCTACGTAAAACATTTGAAAAACTACTTAAATATTTATGGGCATCTTAATATATTTTTGTGTGGATTTTTTTCATTTTAAAATGTGCAGTTTATTGTATGCCTATTATATTCCTTTTTTTTTTAGTCTTTATTGTTGAAAGTATTACATATGTCCCCCTTTTTCCCCCCATCGACACCTTCAGCCCACTCCCCCACCCCCGCCCCAGGCCCTCACCACCCCTGTGCGGATTTTTTTTTAATATTAAAAGTATTCTTTTTCTGTTCGTTTGTTAGATTTACATTAGCTTTTCTCATGAAAAACACCAAGAACAGTCTGATACAACAAAAAAAAGGAAAGGCCGTGTGAGTTAAAATTATTGACAAATAACATCTTTTAATAAATGAAGATGTCACGTAGAGAAAACATGCAATAACTAACAGTCCTGCATCCTTATTACCACTTCTGATCACAGGTAGCAGGATCTATCTTTTAGTGTTTTATGGCATTTTTGTTAATCTGTGTCAAGCAGTTTATTCATCATTGGTTTCTCTACTTGTGTATTCTCAACCCCTTAATTCATCTTAAGATGCTTTGGTTAACCTTCCCAACGGAAACCCTTAGTGCCTTGATCTACCTAGGATAAAGTCCACATTTTTAAATTTTGTCATTCAGAGCCCTCTAGTCACACTCTGACCTGTCACTACTCAGACACACTTTCCAGCCAAAGTGAATTCACCCCTGGCCCCAGAACAAGCAATTTGTAGAGAGATTTCAGTTCATCTGTCTCATTAATTTTTTTCTGGCCCACTTCTAACCTGTCTGTGTTTTCAATTCCTGACATGACACTAAAAACTACACCAGTGTGGTAGTTTGAATTCTCCCTAGCTCCCTCCCTTCCTTCAGCCTAGTTAAAGGAATACAGAAAACATTTGATTATCAGTTTTTTTACAGTCTATCGACACATTCTTTACCACCACAGTCGACTTAAAGGTGACTACACATTCCTCTCAACAGCAGTGGTTGAATAAAACGGATTGAGAGGCCTGTAGTTTGAAAACTCTCCCTCCATCTCCTCAATTCTGATAACACTTTCCAAGGAGGGGCTTGCAGTTCCCCCTCCACAGCTACCACCAGCATGTGCATAGTTGAGAATTACTAACATAGATGTGTACCATCTCTTGGTATAATTTTATTTTATATATTAGTATAGTTATTTTACTTAGTATTGCAAGGTGATAAAATCTTCCTGATATGGATTTATAATAATAGTGGTAATGTCCTGCATTTTCAATCATCACACTAAGTGATTTTCCCAATAAAAATTGTAGTTTTATATTCATCAGATTCTACACTTTTCTTGATCCCATTGTGACCAACAGCTTGCATTTATGAGGATCAGTCAGGACTTAATAGTAAAATTCAAAGTCATGAAACAGCAAATAAATTGGAATTTTCTTTTTTCTTTCTTCCACAATTACTGAAGTACCTACTCTGTGCTAGGCAGCATGCAAAGAATGGGGATTTGAGGCTTCCAGTTTCTGGGGAGGGCAATTTTCACACAGTGTGCTGTGATAGGGTAGTAAGTGAGACAATGGGAGCCCAGTGGAAGTGCATTCAACACAGTCTTGGTTTCCTAGAGCAATGTGAACTGACACCTGTAGATGATTGGGTGTCTGCCAGGCAAAAAGTGTGGGAAGAATATTGCAGGCATTAGCTTTGCAGAAATCTAAAGGTAAGGATTTCACTCCATAGAACATGAGCTGTAAAATATGAGGTTTAAGACGGGTTAAGTGGTGGCAGGCAGGCAGATCATGAAGTGCCCCTTAAGCCATATGACAAAAATGTTTATCTGAGGACAGAAGGGAACTATTTTAGGAGTACTTACCCTTCATGGACTCCAGGGAGTCTATCAACTTAGAAAAAGATTACATTTTGTTTTCATTGACCTATATTTAACATTTTCTTCAATTACGAATGTATTAATAGTAACCGTCTTTGCATCAATAGAAATCTCAGGTATTTTCCATTATAATTGTTACAGATTTCTCAGTATCACTTCTTTGAAATTAGGGTACCTGTATTTTTTAAACCTGCACCATATGGTATTTAATGCATAAACATTTACATATATTACTATATCACGATA